TCCTTTACCTCTTTCAAGTCATGACTAAGCACATGGGCCAAAGGAAAAGGTTATAGAAAACCTAAGTGACATATTTGAGATATAATTTATATATGTTATAAAATAATAGATTTTATAAAGTTTTCCATTCTCTGAAAATACAGAGTAGACCCTTCAACAAAAACTGACCCATATAGAGAAAACCTTACACGGCAATAGTTTGGTACCTATGAATGATTCTGTGCAAAGGGAGAGCTATTTCTACTTGAATTCCTTATATCAAGTGACCCCTTCAGAAGGATAAAAATTGTCCCCAGGGGCAAGAATGCTGCTGTTGATGACAGCTCTGGGTACAGCTCAAGAGAATTAGAGAGGGTCTAAACTCACAGAGTTTACTAAGAACCCCAACATTACTAAGAATAATATAGGCAGTCTACTCTGCCCAGATAAACCAAGGATAAAATGAGGTCATATTAATGAATACTGTATGTAAAGCAAACTTTGATAAGCACACAAGGAAATACTGTGGACTTTCCATTAAAGTATGCACACAAGACCAAGTAAAAGCAAAATCTTAGCATGAAAAAAATTTAGCATGAAACTAGGTAATAGTGGACATGCACATTAGAGTCAGCAAAACCGGGAGGAAACTCTGGGTAATAATACTGTTCAAAAGAGGCTTTTCTCTTGTCTTAAGAATTGTAATTAGATCTTTATTGAAGAGCGATACATTTAGCTTTTCTCTTTTAATTGCTGTCTATTGCCCTTTTGTTCCATGTATATGCAAGCAAGCACACTGTCACATGTTCTCTGTCCCTTTACTGTTTCTCCTCTGCCTCCATTTCCTGCTCAAAGGAAACCTGAGATAAGCTGTTCAGCACATTTTGCTGTTTAATCCAATGTTGGTACAACACCTCAAATGTATTTCCTGGGGTTTAGAATGGACTTAGGAGAATCCTATAGAACCAGGGCAGCAAAATCTGCCAGCATTGCTTCAAGGGGAAAGTGAGGTCTGCGTTCAGATGCGGGATTAAGGAAGGAAAGATGGAATAATGCACCATGAAGACTAACATCCTAGAATGGCTGGACAGCTCCTCAGGATGGGCTTTCTCATCTCTGCTGCTTGGAGGACTGGGCTGCAAGAAACAGTATCTTGCAGTATTTAAAACAAACAAACAAACAAACAAACAAACAAACAAACCCATACAGGGATAGAATCATGGGAGAAACGGATGGTTCAGTCAAACCTGCACTAAAGAGTGATAACTGTAATTTCTTGCTCTGATATATAAGACTTCTGTTGTTTTAGAAAATGATTCAAAGATTCTTTCAAATCAGTTTAATCAGTCTACACAAAAATATTACAGAGTTTAGTGACTATGGTGAAATCATAGTTCATGTATAACAATGGTAAAAATGAGCTATGCTGAATTTCTGTAGCTAATTTCTAGGAAATAGATATGGCCAACAGTAAGTTTTATTTCATATCTGAGATTAGCATCGTTTTTTTTTTTTTTAATTTTTTTTTTAACATTTATTTATTTTTGAGAGAGACAGAGCATGAACGGGGGGAGGGCCAGAGAGAGAGGGAGACACAGAATCTGAAGCAGGCTCCAGGCTCTGAGCTGTCAGCACAGAGCCTGATGCGGGGCTCGAACTCACGGACCGTGAGATCGTGACCTGAGCGAAGTCGGACGCTCAACCGACTGAGCCACCCAGGCGCCCCTGAGATTAGCATCGTTTAATACTCAAATAGTTTTCTTATTTCTACTTTGAAAGCTAAAAGTAAAGAGATAAAGACTAGAAATCAAACATAAGTTGCCACTTAATTGACTGATTCTGGAAATAAAATATTTTAATTAAGTTCCACTTAAAAAATAAAAGTAGCTTCTTACTCCCACACTGAGCACATTAACATTTTCACATACAGAAAGTTTAGGTACATTCAACTGTTTACAAGACATGTCTCCATATAATACAAGTACATTCACGTGAAGTATATGAACTTATATAATTGTATATATTTGTGACTTTTGCATCTGGTACCTTTTAAAACTAACACTTAATATGTTTATTTTCTAAATGTCAATTCATAGGTGATGATTTAAAGTTAGGAGAGCCTCCTGAAGAGTTTTAATAGTTGTGTTCGTATGAGAATTCAATAATATCCTAAATACAAGCTTCAAAGTAAAGCTTTAGCAACTTAAGTTACCTGACTGGCAATGCATGGAATTCTTACCAGGTTGTATTGTTTGGTTTACAGTTTAAGTCATTCAAGTGGCTTATAATTATTTGTGCACTAGGGGATAAAAAAGCACCAATACAATAAATATTTTTTCACATCACAGATGAAATCACAAAACAATGATCTCAATTTCCTTTCAAAATCTAATAGTTTGAAAAGAGCATTTATATCCAATGTTCAATCTTTAAGCTTTCTTAGTGAGATCAACTGATACACTAGAGATAAGAATGGAAATGCTAAAAAGAGGTGTTATGCATAATACCTCCTAACTACAGAATTGAGACATTCTCCTCACACTGCTGATATCCATTTTTGAACTGGTTTCCTTAGATCTAAAAAGAACTCTGAAAATAAGTGTAACATTTATAAACTTATCAACTATGTCTCTTAAAAAGAAATTCTAAAGATGTCTTTCTTCCCGATACATAAAGCAGTATTTTCCTGATGAGCAAAAGCACCTTATGATAAGGAAATATATAAAGCAAGTATTTTCTACAAATTAATATAGAAATTTATGCACATAAAGGTGTAGTCACCCCAGCTGTATATGTAATATTTTAAATAATACACAATAAAAAAAAAAAAACCTCAAAGCACATATTGGAAAAATAACCCATATGCTAGTACTCCAGTTATTAAATATTGCAGCATATATGTAATTCTAACAATTGGAGGAAAAAAGTTTCTAACCCAAATGGTCAGTGAAATCTCTTTGGAAATATACTTTAAAAATCTATAATATGTAATCCTGGCTGTCAAATTCCAACTCAAGCTATAGGTTTTTATAGCTGACATACAATCCCGTGAAAATGAAAGTATGTATAGAGGTCACCTCACAGATTCTTGAGTAAACAGCATTACTGGTGAGACACTGGGACAGGCTAGCTGAGGTCTCCTGTCGTTTTCTTTACAGAGGGCACATAGCAAACATAACATTAAGAATGACAGACCTTCATCACCGTAAGTTTTGCTAAAATGTTAATAAACATTGTTTTAAACATTTCAAGATCATGAGAAAAGGTCCTTACCTGAATATATACAAAGAATTCTCTAGATTTAACATATTTTAAAATGAATACAGAGGTGTATAAGGAGAAACATCAATTACTTGCTTTGACAGTTTTCAGTCAAGGTTTATTACGTGTCTTTTTCTATTGAACAATGTGATTTTTATAAATATATGGAGCTCCAGCTTCCGCTAAGATTTCATTTCTTTTTCCCAGTGGTTTTTTTGTGTTCATGCATTTCTGTTTTGCTAGCTATAGTCTTTTTTCGAAATGAGGTATTAGGAACAACGGCATTAGAAGGTCCGCTGGTAGCTATACAAAAAAAGAAAAATTGTTTAGATTTTCACAAGCAATTCACGTTCAAATACTACTGCTAAGTGACAAATAATTAACTTTATAACTGTGATGTAAGTGAAACATTGTAAACATTCAATAGAGCATTTTTAACCTTTTAACTTTTTAGAATTCAACATCAATACAGGAAAGTAATGTCAATGGGGTGTGTTCCAAATTTGTCTTTTCACTCTACATTCTTCCTGGAAAACTAATTTATTCCATCATTTTTAACTACCATCTATCTATTGTGCTAACGATATTCAAATGTATACTTTTGGTCCAGGTCTTTTCCCTTACTTCAAGATCTGTTTATTCTGTTTATCCTATTAGAAAACTATAGAAAACTATATATATTAGAAACTATATATTTCTATATAGTTTCCATAAATATATATTAGAAAACTATATATATTAGAAAACTATATAAAACTATAGAAAACTATATATATAACTGACAGTAAACATAAACTTAATATGCTTAATACTGAACTTGTCATTTCCCCTTAAATCTATTTTCTCCTCTTTTATATTACCACTAATTAAAAAGTTCAAATGTTAGAAAACTATAAACAGTCTTGACTTAGAACTCATCCTTCTACATCCAAACCAACATTAAGCCCTTATGAGTTATCAAAAAGTTATTCTAAGATAGATGACACTTCTGGTATGGATGGGCAAGCTCCTACCAGACTAATTCTCCTGCAGGTTAACAAGTATAAACTCTGGATAAAATATGAAAAACAACTACTTGAAGACACTGAAGAGTAAACAAAAGCAGGTGTATACTGGAAAAAAAAATCAACACTTGGAGGAAGGAAACTCATGTTGAGTCCCCCCCACCCTCATTTTTTTGAAAGCTGTAGGCCTAAGGAGAGTATCTGGTCTGAACATGTGCAATGACTACAACTAAACATAAAACTCATTCTTACTAGCATGAAGAACCAGAAGATAAGTACTGGAGCAACTATAGCTGCTGGAAAATCAGGTCGGAGATCCCAGAAAGGGAGAGTCTCCAGTTCTTTGTATAAAACATGATCACATTTATGGCATGGGGAGGATAGGCTCCAAGAGTGCAGCTAAGGCCAAAAGAAAAGATGTGAAAGATGAGCTGCTGACTGCTTCAAGGAACACAGTTTTGCAACATGAGTTTGCCCAAGGTTAACTCTTTGCTTGAAAAAAACCCAAACAACTCAATACTCTTGGGAAAAGCCTAACAAAAATAACAGTCTGGAGTTTATACAACATCTCATTCATAATGTCTAGGATGCAATCCAAAAGTACTCAATGTATGAAACAAAACAGGAAAACATCTTTCTTCTTGGGAATGGATAAATTGGTAGAGACTATTTCTGAGGTCAGCTAGATTAGTACACAAGAATGTTAAAGCAAGTACTTTAACTTACTCAAGAACAAAGGAAAATATGCTTATGATAAATAAAATTTTGGAGATCTCTGAAGAATCAAAAAAGAGTATCTAAAACTAAGGAATAAATATCTGAAAAAAAACCCACTAGATAGCTTAACAGCAGAATGGAGATGATAGGTAAAAGTGAACATCAACCCAGATTATTTTTTTTTTTAATTTTTTTTCAACGTTTATTTATTTTTGGAACAGAGAGAGACAAAGCATGAACGGGAGGGCAGAGAGAGTGGGAGACAGAATCGAAATAGGCTCCAGGCTCTGACATCAGCCCAGAGCCTGATCGGGCAAATTGAACTCCCGATCATGAGATCGCGGACCTGGCTGAAGTCGGACGCCGCAACCGGATCATACCAACGAAGCCTTAACTCCAGATTATTAAAAAAAAAAAAAAAAAATTTCTAAGCATGCTTGCCATAGTCAAATTGCTGAGAATCAAAGCTAAAGAAAAAATATTGAAAGCAGGCAGAAAAAAATAATTCAACCCACTGCACACATTGGGACAATTCAAATTACCAAAGACTTCTCATCAGAAACAATGGGAACCCTAAACAGGACACAACACCTTTAAAACACTGAAAGAAAAAACTTTCTTCCTCAAATTGTCAATCAAGACTTTTTCAAATACAGTATGAGATCTGCAGTATAAAAATGCTAAAGAGATTCAGGTAGAAGGCAAATAAAACCAGATGGAAACAAAGATTTAGAAAAAGGAATGAAGACTGATGGCTAATGTGTGGATAAATAAAATACTTTTTTCTCTTCCAAGTGTCATTAAAATACATGACTGTGTAAAGCAAATATTCTAACATTGTATTGTAGCCTTTATAATATATGTGGAAGTAACATACATGGATAACTATGTGTCAAGGATGGGTGGAGAGGAAGGTAAATGAATCTACAGAGTTGCAAGGTTCCTACATTTTACTCTGAGTAGTATAAAATTATCTCTAAGTAGATCATGAAAAGTTAGGTGTATTTATAGCCACTAATTAAAGAATGATGCAAAAAGGTAAAGGTACAAAGTCAGTAGATAAGTTAAAATAAAACTCTAAAAAATATTTTTTTTTAAAATTTTTTTTTCAACGTTTATTTATTTGTGGGACAGAGAGAGACAGAGCATGAAAGGGGGAGGGGCTGAGAGAGAGGGAGACACAGAATCGGAAACAGGCTCCAGGCTCTGAGCCATCAGCCCAGAGCCTGACGCGGGGCTCGAACCCACGGACCGCGAGATCGTGACCTGGCTGAAGTCGGACGCTTAACCGACTGCGCCACCCAGGCGCCCCTCAAACTCTAAAAAATATTGAATACAAAACAAGGCAGAAAAGAATAAAAAATAACAATCAGAATGTATAAACCAAAAATATAATAACATAGTAGATCTAACCCAACCATATCAATAATTACAATGTTAATGAACCAGAAACATTGCAACTATAAGGCAGATATTGTTAGAATGGGTTTTTAAATTTTTAAAAAATATTTATATTCTTTGAGAGAGACAGAGAGAGAGAGAGAGAGA